GTTACAAGGAAATGAGTGTGTCCACTCCTCAATATTTCAGCTTGATGAGCACTTGTATGACACCTCAAAACAGTTTGGGAGTCAACATAGTATGTATCATTATAACTCCTGCTAACATGATCAGCAGGAACCAAGACATCATCAAAATTCTGCAAGGACAGATTCTAACATTATAAAGAAGCATAGTGTGCAGCTCGAAGATATAGACGGAAATAAATAAATGGGGAAAACAGAATAAAGCAAAGAAACCAGCACAACAATGAATCACCACAGCAAAAACTCAGCATTAGTAATCTTGCTCATAGCTATTTCATCTTTAACCTTAATGTGCATAATCATTTAGAATGATCCGGTACTGACAGCCTAACTTTCCAGTATACTGCCTAGCTTGGCCCTCATAACAACATAGCCTCCCCATGTTTAAGTCTGCCAAAGCTCCGTTGCATGCAATTAATCCAAATATGAAGTAAATTTTTTAGGGGGTGGGGGGTTAGGGGGGAAGGGAGCTCAAATCAACACATAAACACCTTTGAACAGGGATATAGATAACCCGCCTTTTACAGCAAACAGCCCTGCTTAACCTTGCATGGAGTGTAACAATAGCTCTTTCACATGAACCAAAACACTAAATCATGACTACGTAATGAATGACACAGACAAGCGTATAATAAGGCAAATCATGCAAAAAAAACTTGCCAATGAACGTATTAAAGTTAAGGGCATACCGCTTTCACCGGAACAATTGGACAAAGATCTTCGAACTTTTCAAATTTGTTGGAATAATTCGTATCGAAATAATCATATATTGCATTCTTCAATATGCCAAGTGGATGTTGATCCCTCCTATGTAATTGCATCCCAAGTTTTGTGAAGATTGTATCAGGGACATTGTTTGTGGGATCATCGCGCACCACATCTGAATCCCCCGTCAGATAGAACAGTAAGACCACCGAAAAGGCAAAAAATTGAATCTTCAATCATATGACATGGAAACACTTTCATTCTTTCGTATATTAACATGTAATTCCATTCTCTACTACATTCCCAATCACATGTAAAGCAACCAAATTCTTCAATACAGTACTCCGTAATTCATTTGCATATAATTTGTTCAGCGATTTTACTTCCCTCTAAAAGACTAAAACCCCATGAAGAATTAACAAAATAAATCACCATTTAAAACAAAAAGACCAAATTACACACCAAAGAAGCAGATTTCCAATTACCCAAGTTTTAATTTATACTCGTGTCATGAATGACACAAAATTCCAGCAATTGCCCACCAAAAAAGATTAAAAACAGAAAATCCCAAAATTAGAAAAGAACAATTGAACTAAAAAAGAAGTGATTTTGGGAAGTGGGTAATTAACCTTCTTTGGAAATCTTAACACCGCCGAGCTCAACAGCAGATGCCGCCATTACAGGTTGCCGCCATTTCTTGGTGCGGAGATTGTCGGAGGAAACGGCGGAGAAGGTGGAGAAAGCGAAGGCGGCGACACGATTTTTGGAGATGAAGAGTGAAGGTTTAGAGAGGAAGATAGGGGTATGAGCAAGGGAGATTGCAGCAGCCATTGCTGCAGTAGTATGAGTAGCAGCACACAGTTTTTTCAGGCATATTGACTGGATAAGCATTTTTATCAGAAGGGTTTATGGTGAAAGGTTGATGGTGAAATTTGTCAAACTGATTGCGTTTGGGTTTTTTGGGTTTAAAAAGCATTCGACACACCACATAAGCAAATGTATATTTTCGACTAATTAAAATTTAGATTTCTATTTTATTTTAGAATTAAAAAATTAACTTGCCACCTAAACAAAAGTGATAAATGGGACTTAAAAATTTTACCACGTAAGTAAAAACAACGAATAGTGATTTATTAGGATTTAATTTATTTAAAAAACTAAAAATTATCTTTTAGAAAAAATCATCTATAAATATAGGATTTATATATCTACCATTGTAAGATAAATTTTAATAGTATTTATGATAAAAAAATAAAAATCATTCATTATTATAATTGAATTACCATTATGAATTGACGCATCATTCGACACCAATAAATTTCGTATCACTATAATCATCTTTAGATATAGGATTTATATATCTACCGTTGTAAGATAAATTTTTATAGTATTTGTGATAAAAAATAAAAATCATTCATTATTATAATTGAATTACCATTATGAATTGACGCATCATTCGACACCAATAAAATTTCGTATCTATAAAACCAAATCAATCGAATTTTGTGTCGGTTTTATTAGGTAATTCTTAGCTTAATTTTCCATATCCATGTTTAAGTGTATATTTGTGATTATTGTTTACATTGTGTTTATTTGGGATAATTAATGATTATATGTTTATGTTTGTTTACTGAATTTTGTTTTTACATGCAGATCTAATTTAATCATAGAATTAAATTCGAGCAAAATGATTGAAAATAAAATCAAAGTACGAGTTTCTTTCCTGATGTCCTATTGGATGAGGAAGTATTATATCTTTATAAATCGTTTACATTTATTAAAATTTTCAATAAACCTTTTTAGTTTTTATTAATTAATTTAATGATTAAATATATTGATTTATTTTATAAGACTATAAAGATTACTTTTGTATAAATTTTATTTTTGCTTACCTGTTCTATTTATCCACCTTTATTAGATGGAAGAGATATGAGTGTGAACAAAGTTGGTGATTCTATCGAAATGAAAGATAATAGTATACATGTTTTGTTCATATGTTTATCTATATTAAGAATAAATTTATCTAAATGACGAATAATAATTTAGAATTTAAATTACTTTTATAAAAAAAATTATCTTTTCACAATAAAGATTCCATCCTAATATATAATCAATAAAATATCATATTTACAATTTATTTTTTTTTGAAATATATCATATTATTGTCATATGATTAACAACAACGAATAAAATACAAAACAACAATAAATATATTTGTATCAAAAATTACATTAAAAAAATTATACTTTTTTAATAGGCAATAACATATTAATTAAATTATTATGTGTTTATTTTTTTGAAATTATTAAATAGTAAAACAAATCAAATAATTGTAAAAAAAAACTTAGAGTATATTGGAAAATATCTTTTCTTGAGATTTATGTATGAAAAATCGAGCATCGCACAGGCTTTCATCTAGTACTGCACTAATCTACCCCCTTCGTTTTGTTATTTTTACGGGTTGACACCAATTTTTACAAATTAAAACTTAATTTGTTCAGGACTACAGAGTATTACATTATCAACTCGGGATTGTGCTTACATGTGAAATACTTTAAATGCTAAGTACTTTTTCATGTGCGTTTTTGAAATTGAAATGTTAATTATGACATTTTAAAATTTAAAGCACGCATCATGTACATTTAGATCTTTCATAGATGATTGAAACTTAGTTTTATTAAGCATTGTTTTGTTTGCTCATTGGATTTGAAGCCAAATTTGAATTCGAGTCGAGCTTGGGCTAAGTTTTGATCGAGCCGAGTATCGAATAATTTGTGAGCAGACTCAACTCATTAACACCTATTGCTTGTGCATTTTAAAGGTGTAAACAACAAAAAGTAACATAACATTGTCGATAACTCAAGGCATTGTCCCTTTATTTTATTATAGTAAGGGTGATTTAGCATGCTGCTAGTTTCAAGTAGGATCATTTGTCTTTGTGCCTGGAAAAAGCTAAGCCCAGCACGAAACAGGCACGATGTAGGCACGACACGTTACAGTGCGTGCAGGGCCGTGGAACGCCTTTGCTTGGGAGAAGCACGATAAGGCACGCCACGGCCTAACCCGACATGACAAAGCACACTAAAATCAATGAAATTTGGCTTACACACGCAAGTCCGACATGATGGCACGTGGGCTTGGGCCGTGTACGAGCCAACCTTTTGAAAATTTCAGCACAACACGAAACTTCTGGTGTTATTATCAATTGAAAATTAACATTTCACATAAGCAAAATTACATGTGACACCCATGCAATTAAAGTAGTCCTTAAACACGTTTTTTCGGGATTTATTTCCTCTTGTTACTTGTGAATCCCTTCATCAAACAAAATTTTGCCACCGACTCATATAAAATCGCCAATTGTCACATACTTGGTGCATCATATAGGTTGATATTTGAAAGCAACTATATTGATTCAAAGCTTGACTAGAAAGGTTTGTAACTCCTTAATTTCAACTGATCAAACATTTCACACAAACAAACTTACATACTTACACTCAAACTTGTCTGTTAATCTACCTCGGTGACACCCATGCAATTAAAGTAGTCCTTAATACATTGCTTTCAAATTTTATTTCCTTTAGTTACTTGTGAACTCCTTCATCATACAAATTTCTGCCACTGACACATATAAAATCGCCAACTGTCACATATATAGTACATTGTCTAAACCAATATTTGAAAGCAACTATGCCGATTTAAAGCATGACTTAAAAGGTCCGTAAAACTATAATATCAGCTAATCAAGCATTTCACGCAAACAAAATTACGTTTTACATCCTTACGCTCAAAACTTGTTTGTTAATCTACCTTATTCATATATATCCTTATTTTTTACTTCGCACAATGTAACAATCCAAAGCATCGCCTAATTTGTTTTAAAATTGAGTAGAAGAATGGTCAAGCCACCTTGCCGACCTTTAACAATAAAGTTTTCCATGCCACCATGGCTTGTCAGCAATGGGCAACATTCCCAATTTTCAACTGTCAAAAACTCAAAAAACTCCAAAAGCTCATTACCAAAAACTAATTAAACAAAAAGAACCCATTTTTTTTTTTTTTTAAAAAGAACCCTTAAAATTTCTTGGAAGTCAGCTACATCCAATTTGGCTAAGTAAAATATCGACCACGTCAGCAAAACATCGGACCCCACGTACTCTCAAATCTACGGCTCAAATCTCATCTCACAAAAAAAATCCAACGGCCAAAAACATCTTCTTCTTCTTATATATTCAAACAACAAAACAAACCCTTAGTTTTCTCTCTCTAAAACCAGTTGCTTACTTTCTCTCTCTAAAAGTTTCTCAATCTCTCTCTTCCGTCGTCGCCGCCGTCGTTTCCGGCGGCGCGATCCTCTATCTCCGGCGAATTCCGCCCTAATTACCCTCATTCCACCCTTCCCTCTCCTCTCTTTATCTCTCTCTTAATCTTAAAAAATCGAAAAAAAAGTTATTAGAAAATACCCAGAAAAAAAAAACCTAAAAAATTTTCGTGTTTATTTTTACAAAAGTTGTGTTTGATTTGTTGCCGAATAATCAGAGGAGAGGGAAGTGGTTTATATAAAAAACCGAAAAAAATTGAAAATTTTGAAAAACGAAAAAAACCCTTAATTTATTTTTTGTCCTTCTCTCCTAAATTTTAGGTTTTAGGGTTTTTAGGAGTGAGAAAAAATGGCTCAACCTCAGGTGCAAGCGAATGGCGGGGCTCCGGCGGCTACTGCGGCCGCAGTAGGCGGTGGTGCGGCGGCTCCTGCTGGTGGGGCTGCGGCGGCGGCTGCGGGACAGTTCGTTACGACGTCGTTGTATGTGGGTGATTTGGATGTGAATGTGAGTGATTCACAGCTGTATGATGTGTTCAATCAACTGGGTCAGGTGGTTTCGGTTAGGGTTTGCAGGGATTTGGCTACTCGTCGATCACTTGGTTATGGTTATGTCAATTATGCTAACCCACAAGATGGTCAGTTGATTTCTTAATTTTTTATGGTCTTTTTTTTTTTTTTTTTTTTTTTTGTAATTTATTTGATGATGATTTTGTTAATTTTTATTGAATTTTGTGTAATTAGACTGTAATATTGTTTGATTTTGATGGGGTTGTTAGTTTTGTAGAGAAATTTTGATTGATTGGTGTTTGGATACTTGATGAGTTGGGTTGTTGTTTTGACTTTTTGAATTAGTGCATGTCGTTTTAGAGATGTTCTTAGTTGGGGTTAATGTCAAGGAAAGCATTGTATTTTAAGCTGTGAATTGGATCGGAATTGCTCGGTCACATTGACTGTGAATAAGTTATATTGGGTTGAATATGGTTTTCGTTCTGTCAGTTTGATGGAAAATCGTCTGGCATTGACTGTGAATGATCTGCAACTTGCTGACTGAAGTTTTCTTTTTTAGAGGCAGAATTGTGTGAGCTGATTTGAATATAAAGTGACACTAATTAGTTCAATAATTGGGTGACCTGAATTTAAAAAAGTGAATTTTATCTTTTAGTGGAGTACGGTTGTGGTTTTTTTTTTTTCAAGGAATGTTTGATGCGAATCAGAGGCTATACACGGGGGATTATCGTAAGTGAAAGGGGGGCTAGGATGATCTTCTACATGTAGCCTTGAGGATTCTTTCCAGGGACGAATTTGTTGTATTTACACGAGAATTTTTGAAAGTTTGTCAATCTATTGAATGAACATTCATGTAAATGGTGTGGAATTGGCTGGCAAAGATATTTTTACACTTTAGAAGGCTGGATTGTGGTAGGGTGTGTAACCTTGGTGCTGATGATGGTCGATAGAATGGATTAGTATCTGTTGTCCATACAAATTGACAGTGACCATGGATTTTCCTTGCTTGTGGCAATCAGAACTTCAGGAGGAAAGGAGCGAACGTTAGGTGCAGTGTTGAAGTGTAGCATCGTGGTTCATAGTATAGATCTAGATTGGCCCAAGTCTAATATAGTTTGACTTTCTGTCAACATTATCTAGTACTGAAAGAAGTCTTTGAAAGGTTTCTCTTAGGCGTTTTGGAGAACAAGACTTTATTTATAGTGCAGATAACATATGGTGGCATTCAATGCAGTTTGCTTTGTCAGAGGTTCAAATATTAGGTGTAGCTCTATTGATGTGAGGAATGGTTTATTTTTGTAATTATTTAAATTTCTTATCTATTAAAATTTCAGCAATGGGAAGAAATAAGTATACTCCCACTATAAGGCTATGTTATTGGACCTATGAATATAGGCTAAGAAGGTTCACTTATATTTTGAGGATAGCTTGATGAATTTTCTGATTGTAAACGTTTAGATGCTATTGTTTTAAACGTTAAATCTTTTTTATTTTTTATTTTTGTGTTTACTGTTGTTTTTCAGGATTTGTCGAATTCTGCTAGTTTTATTTAAAATGTCTTGTTTAGAGTTGAGTTAATATGCTTGAGGTTTGGTATTAATTACTCAGAATTGTGTCATGGTGTAATATAATCTAGTGGCCTTGTGAAATTCACTCTTTCAGTCTTTGTAGATAGGTTTAGCCAATATTTTAGGTAAGTTTTACTTTTAACCTTGAAACAGTTTAAACGTTTATTGGTTTGGATTGTTACTTTGTTAGAATGAGCATTTTTATTTTTTTGAACTTCCAGATTGATTGGAGATTTTGTACTGGTCTTTAAAATGTGTTTAACTTCCTGTTGTTGCATATTCTTCACAGCTGCAAGAGCGATAGATGTCCTGAACTTCACTCCTCTCAACAACAGGCCTATCAGGATAATGTATTCTCACCGTGATCCTAGTGTCCGTAAAAGTGGGGCTGGAAACATTTTTATCAAGGTAATGGTTCCTCTATATTATACAAGGGGTCTTTCTATTTTCATTTGTTCACCTTTCCAGCTCTTTTCATTACGGTTTTGTCTTATCTTTGTTTTTCTTCCTACACAGAATTTGGATAAGGCCATTGACAACAAAGCACTGTATGACACCTTTTCTGCTTTTGGGACCATCCTGTCTTGCAAGATTGCTACTGATTTATCTGGGCATTCAAAAGGACATGGTTTTGTGCAGTACGAGACTGAGGAGTCTGCTCAAAAAGCCATAGAGAAGCTGAATGGCATGCTGTTGAATGACAAGCAAGTCTATGTGGGCCCTTTTCAGCGAAGGCAAGAAAGAGAAAATTCCGTTGACAAGACCAAATTCACAAATGTTTTTGTGAAAAATCTTGCAGAGGCAACATCAGATGATGATATGAATAAGATTTTTAGTCAATATGGGAAAATTACGAGTGCTGTTGTGATGCGTGATGCAGATGGAAAGTCAAAATGCTTTGGGTTTGTCAACTTTGAAAATGCAGATGATGCTGCTATTGCTGTGGAGGCTCTAAATGGGCAGACAGTTGATGGTAAGGACTGGTATGTTGGTAAAGCCCAGAAAAAGTCAGAAAGGGAAGCTGAGCTGAAGAATCAATTTGAGCAGAGTATGAAAGAGGTGGTAGACCAATATCAGGGAAAAAACCTGTACATTAAAAATTTGGATGATACCATTGACGATGACAAACTCAAAGAAGCATTTGCTCCATATGGCACGATTACTTCATGCAAGGTGAGTCATGTGCATATGTGACTTGTATACTTCATCACTTTAGTCTTCAGATACCTTGTTAACATTTATATATTTGTGAAAATCATGTATAGAAGCTTAAGTAGGTCTAGTTGAACTTGCTCTTATTTCTATGGTCTATATTTTTGCAGATAATGCGAGATCCTACTGGTGTAAGCAAGGGATCAGGCTTTGTTGCATTTTCGACTGCTGAAGAGGCATCTCGAGCTGTAAGTCGATGTGGGTTATTTGATGTAAATATTGTTTTAATGGTCTATTTATCACCTGTGATTTTTTTTGTCAGTTGTTGGAGATGAATGGAAAGATGCTTGTTAGCAAGCCTCTTTATGTTGCCCTTGCACAACGTAAGGAAGACAGAAGAGCAAGGTTGCAGGTATGGATCTCGGTGTTTGTATGTTGGGGCGGAACTGAAAATTATTTTATGGGGGACAAAATTTTCATTTTACTTCATAGGGCTACCAAGTAAACTAGTAAAGACTTTTAACTTATTTTCAAATTTCTTGATGTTTTTATAAAAACTTTTATTATTGGGGGGGGGGGGGTTGACACCTTGAGACCCACCTCCCTTTTCTGTTTTTATGTGTTAATCGGGTAATCAACTTTTCAAAGGACCCAGATTATGCAAGATATATACCATCTTATGTGTATTGCTGGTCTTCAGACTCCCTGCAGAGGCACAGACTGAAGTTTTTTTTTTTTTTTTCTGTCGAAGTTGGAAAGAAAAGAAAGGGATGATATATAATGGGAAAGTGGAAGGGAAGAGAATTGGAGTGATCCATTTTCTATCTCCTCAGACTAGATAGGAGGGAATTGCAAGTATTTGCTTTTAAGAAGGTTAAGGAAAATAGCTAACCCATGCCTCTTAACATTGGAATGGTTGGGAAGGTCACCTCTTCCCTCTTTTTGTCTGATTCTATGTTTTTTCGTTGTTATCCATTCATTTGGCTTAATGTATTTCTGTGACAGTGTGAGTGACTAGGCAAGCTGTGCTTAAGCTTGCATTAAGTTTAAGAGTATCTTGCTATCTTTGTGAGAGAGAGAGACAGAAGAGAGTTTAGTTTTGATTCTGTGGAAGTTTTATTCATCTTACTTCCAATATCAACATTGATTTTTGTACAGGCCCAATTCTCTCAAATGCGCCCTGTTGCTATGCCACCATCTGTTGGTCCCAGGATATCAGTCTATCCTCCTGGTGGTCCTGGGCTTGGGCAGCAGATGTATTATGGGCAAGGACCTCCTGCTATGCTTCCACATCAGGTGATCTGCTAATTTATCCTCTTTGCAGTCTTACATACCTTTGTTTTTTCTTTCTTTGGGCTTGTAGTAAGATTTCTATCCAATATCATCGCATTAATCATTTAGTAATTTTTGATAGATTTGAAACATTATTAACTATTATTAACAACATCCCTTGGAGTTGGGTATATTCATCTTTTTTGACATAATTTGTAAGAATGCCCTACAGTAGTTTCATGGTTGCAACTGCACATTGTTTTACCATCATTGTTTGTTTTCTTTTATTAAAATTATTACTTCGTATATGGGGTCCAACTTGGATTCTATATCCGCTCCCACTGGTATGGAGGGGTGGACGGCCGAGTCCGAGCATCCCAGGTATACATGGATTTTTACTTATTTCAAGTGTAACAAATTTATGCTCATATGAGCAAATTTTGTATTTTCTTGCGAAATGAGGACTTTCTTTGGCTGTGATATGTGGAAGAGGGGGTGTTCATGTCTGGTTATTTAATGGAGGGGACTCCTCTGGACCAAAGTTGGAACTGTAGCTTGGTTTTAGTGTGCCTTCCCATAATAAATTAGCTTGATAAGCTTTGCTGTGTATTTGTTACATTCTTATCCTGATGGGGATGCATGATTACGAGTAAAACGTATTCAGTTCTGCTTTATGCCCCAGCAGGTTCTAAATTTGGGTACGGGGATGATCTCTAATGTTGTCTAGTTGGTTGATTTTGGAATTGTGAATTTGTGTGCATTTTCTACATTTACCATAGGTCACTTAAATGTTGAAGCTCTTCCTTTTCTTCTTATTTGATATTTTAGTTTAGTTACTCTTATTGCTGTAACTCAATTATCTTTTCCAGTCTACTTATCACTGTACTAGTAATTATTTTCTAATGAATTTTGTTTTTAATTCCTGTTGCTCCATCAGCCTGCATTTGGATACCAGCATCAAATGATGCCTGGTTTGAGAGGTGCTCCAGTGCCAAATTTCTTTATGCCAATGGTTCAGCAAGGGCAGCAGGGTCCACGCCCTAGTGGCAGACGCGGAGGCGGTGGTCCAGTCCAGCAATCTCAGCAGCCTATTATGATGCAGCAGCAGGTCTAACTTGCATTTGATGTGTAGTCTATTTGTATTTGTACTTTCTACCTACTTGATATTAATTTTGACTTGCGTACTTGTCTACCGCCTTTTAACTGTTCATATTAAGGATGCTTCAATCTTAAGTCTTATTATGATCTTGTATTTTCTTCTATACTAGATGATGCCAAGGGGACGTTATCATCGTTATCCTCCTGCTCGTCCTCTGCCAGATGCTCCTATCCCTGGTGTCACTGGAGGAGTGCTTCCTGGTGGTCAATTTGATATGGGTGGCATGCAAATGCGTGAATCTGCTATGTCTCCAACTGTTCCTGTCGGCACATTGGCTACTTTGCTTGCTAATGCTACTCCTGAGCATCAGAGGCTTGTAAGTCTTCTGCTACAGCTTATACCTCCGTTTCTTATGATTTTGGACCTGTAACTCTAATTTTGTTTCAAAGCTTCAGTACTTTTTAAATTTGAAAAATTTATTTATTGTACTTTCTGATTAATCTTTGTTTTTGTTCAATCTAAGCTCTTGGGAGAGAATCTGTATCCATTGGTGGAGCAGCTGGAGCCAGATATGGCTGCTAAAGTGACAGGGATGCTGCTGGAGATGGATCAGACTGAAGTCCTGCATTTGTTGGAGTCTCCAGATGCGCTGAAGGCCAAGGTTGCCGAAGCAATGGAAGTCTTAAGGAATGTTACTCAGCAGCAGCCTAGCAACCCTGCTGATCAGCTTGCTGCTATGTCACTGAATGACAACCTCTCTTAAGGGCAATGAGCCAAATTACTGATTCATAAACTAGAACTGAGTCGATTTCATGTTTTGGGATTTGTGAAACCTGCTGGTGTGCTGTTGAACTGAGATTTGTGGTGGTTGACATCTTGATAACCTGTTAAGGTTTCTAGACAAAGTTTGCTTCAACTCTTGAGCTGTTTGTCCTAAAATATTGCTCTTTATGCTCTGTTTTTGACTCTTGAAAGTATCTACTCTTTTAACTCTGGTTTTATTGTTAGAATGGATTTTATACTTCATTAATAGATGGATTGTGAATCTTAGGGGGAGAGGTGGGTATGGGATTTCATAGGTATGGGTTGGAGTTGGAATCCCTTGGGAATGAGATTCCTTTACCAAAAAAACTCAACCAAACAAAAAATAGAAGGAATGGATTCTAACTCTATTCTAACCCATTTCAAATGATCTATCCAATTGACCCCTAAAAAAAATTTGGTGTGTATATACATTATGAAAATAGATACTGGATTAAAGATTGCTTGGTCATTTCGAATGGATACTAGAGGTTGAGGATGGCAAATTTTGCGGGAGTTAAATTACTACACACGAAAGACATCATGACCACATATCATTACTATTAACAAATTAATTTGTACGAAAAAGAACGTAACCCTAAAACTTCACAAGTCACCAGGGGTTTTTTTTCAACTTTTTTACATGGTGCCTACTCCTGTCAATGTACCATGTCTTTGCTATTAACCTAATGTTAAGTACTTCTGTCAATTTTAAAGTTTTTAATTTTTCCTTTTGAGTATTTTAACATTGTGCCTCAGTGTATTATCAAAGTTGTGTCCACTGTTTATCCATATTATATATGGTGCCCCTCAAGAAGGTACAATCAATAGTACAAGTACATTGTTGTTAACTTGACATTTAGTAGTCCTCTTAGTTTTATGTTCCTTTTGTTAATCTTCAATTTAGCAAGTTCAGTCCTTTTGCAACATCATTGTGGGCTAAGAAACTTCAAGTCACAAGATGAATTAGAAGAAAAATTGCGAGAATAAGACTTGCTTTAGAGCTTTGGAGACCACAACAATGAAGGATCCCAAAATTTTAAGACCGCAAAGGTAAAGGAAAGGAGAGGAAACCCTAGCAGTCTTGGAGGAAAACTTTCCCACCAAAGAGAGGCAGAGGCGCAAAAAAAAATTTTACAAGACATAAAAAAAAAAATTAAAAAATGAAAATACCAAATCACTTAATGTCAAGTTGGCATGGACATGATGACGACGACGCATTAATAACCGTACCTGAGGGGTACCATAAGTAATATGGAAAATAGTGGATATGACTTGAAGTATCACATGTAGGGGTACTCGTCCAACGTACTTTGTAGAAAAACCCCAAAATAATAACAGAAAAAAGCTTACGTGAATATAAAAATAAAGCCAGTAACTAATCACAAAAAAAAAAAAAAAAAAAAAAAAAAAAAAAAAGGTTATCAAACAAAAATTAGGGTTTGTAAAGAGTGAAGAGGAGATGGTAGCTAACTGGCGATGCTTCAGGAGAGATTACTCTCTAAGAAAATTTGTAACAAAAAAGTATGTTAAAAGCACTATTTTGCAAAAAAAAACAAATTAAACGTCTTTTGGTTAAAAAAATCCGATTTTTAGCATTTTGGCAAAAGAAAACACGATTGTGAAATTTTTTTGTTAAAGGAAACCTAGTGCCCCTAATACACTTAATTAATCTCTAATTTTCTTTAATTAACTTCTAACTCTTATATAATCATTTAATTATTAACTTAATTTATAAATTAAAAACAAAAAACAAAAACCACCACCCTACCACCATCCAACCACCCTTTTCCCTTTCCCATTCACCTTGCAGGCGACAACCCCCAACTGAGCCAACACTGGGAACCCATACCAGCCACCCCGGCGACCCACCTTCACCAGCGACAGGCGACCCATCTAGCTTTACCCTCGTCCGCCACTTTCTTTCTCCTCCCTTCCACCTCCATCTCCCCTCCACCAAATTCCTCAACCTCAAAATCCACCATTACCAAACCTCCAAACTCTTCTTTTCCACCACCATCAAATCTCTCTCTTCTCCCACCTCAACTCCCACCCTTTCCCAAGATCTCAACAAAATTCGCCGCCAAAGCACCACAACATTCGAATCGAATTGAAGAACATCTCTAGATTAGGAAGGTGGGTGGTCGCTAGTGGGGATAAGGGGGAACAGGAGGGTCGGCCGGTGGTGGAGGTAGAATCTGGGCGACGGGTCCGACGGGGGAGGGGGCTGCTTCTAGGGGAGGGGTAAAGGGCGATGGTGGTTGGTTGGTGGTTTGGGGGTTGGTGATTTTTTTATAGATTAAATTTAATTATTGAACTAGTTTTTAGGCTCAGGCGATGCCCAATATTACATGGAACTGATCATTAATACACGTTGTAATTTATGATTCAATTTTCTTGTAAATTAATTTTTTTGTTCATATTGTCATTTGTTGCATATTAATATTTTGTATTCAAAGAAAAACATAAAAAATCACATAGCTTAGTGTTAAGACACTTACTTGTAGAATTAGAAGTTGCGCGTTCAAATCTTGTGGAGAGCATTTTTTTTAATTATAAGTGCATGACATGCAATGAAAAACTAATGGAAGAGAGGGCCATGTGGCGTAATGAGTAGTTGAGTGGGTGACGTGGCGTAGTGACGGGGGGTTTACGTTGACACGTAGACGACGCTCTTAGAAACGTCTTTTAATATATTACTAGTGAGTAGCCCTGGGCGTTGCCTCATGTTGCTACTGTTGTAGATATGTAACCAATAAATTATTTTAATTTTTTAAAACTGATATTGTCACTATTAAATCAAAATTGAGTTATTTTTTTTGAGTATTTTTTTTATTTTTTTATTTTCTTAAAATTGAACCTTGTGGTTTGCATTTACTCCATCCGTTTCAAAATGATGTTCTTGTTTACGTAAATCAATGCAAATTTTTTACCATCTTTGACCGCAAATATCTTTAATCTCACACTAGCAAAAATTATAAAAATTAGATATTAATAATGTACTCACCAAGATAAATCAAACAAGATCCCACATGGCTATATTTGTTTTTATAAATTGAGAGAAATTTAGAAGATTCTCTCTTATATTTTAAAAGTCAAAGATTTCAAACAAGAACATCATTGTGGAACGGAGGGAGTATATAATTTTTTTTTTTCACGTATTACAAAGTAATAACATAGTTGATAATTGACTTAGATGGTTAAATAGTCATCTTTGTTACAAAAAGTTGGGGGTTCGAATCTCCTTATCCTTATGTTTTTATACGGAGTAATGTTAGTTGTTTGGGCGATGTGGCGTAATGGTTAAAATTGATTGACTGATGATGTGGCTTCATGAGATGTTGTGAAGGTGACGTGGCGCAATATAAAAAGGGATTATGTCGCACATCGACGTTTTTAGGAACAACTTTTAATATATATTAGTATATAGATAATTAGGTGGGTTAAAGGGTAATTAGAAGAAATGGGAGGAAATTAGATAGTAATTAAGTAAATTAGAGAGTAATTAGGTAAACAGGTTTCTCCTTGCAAAAAATATCAACTTGATGGTTTTTTTTTCACCAAAAATCTTTAAAAGATTTTTTTTCGCAAAATGGTACTTTTAAATGATTTATTTTGACAAATTTTCCTACTTTTTATCCTAATTCTTGTATTTCCTTCTTTCCATGTCCCAACTCAAAGTGGATAAACTGCTAAAAAATCGCCGCACTAATTCACTAACCATGGTGTGCCAGCCAAAGGAGAGAAGAACCAAGAAATAAGAAACACAATGACACGAGACGATAGAATAATACGTAAGCTAAACATAGCTATGAAGTTTAGTTGGAATATTAAATACCTTCGTAAAGACCAGTTATTGAATCTCATTGCCATCGTTAATATTTGAACACTTGAATGAATCTGAAGTTAAAATCCAACTGGATTTTCTCTCTTTCAAGAAACAGGACAGTATAATGTGTAGGAACTAAAACTCAATTCTACGCTGTCAGCTGATAGCTACGAAAAATTATTAGGAATAAAGGACAAAAAAATATTACATTTCCTCTTCCTTCTCTTACTATTAAAACATGTTATATGCACAAACTAAATAATCAATCTACATTTAACTCACATAACTTCTTCCAAAACAGGTATAGAACTACATGCCAGGAAATTGACTCGTAGATTCGTATCTATAACTAAGCATCAACTTGGTTGCCTCGTCTTAATCTCAGACCCACGTCTTCTTGTCTAATTACATCATTTCGTTGGATATTCAAAGCTTCTGTTTCTTCAGCAGCCCTTCTTATGGCGGCTTCCCCAAAATTATGGAGCCTGCGGCCAACAAGGTAGCGGTCATCACGAATGGAATTGTGCAAGTTAGTGAACCAGACATGGAACCTCTTGGCACAGAAAAATAACACGCTTAAGCACAGGCACCCCAACCAAGCAAACCGGTAAACGGCCGAGTTGACAATCAAGGGGTAACCGAAAACGGGAAATACTCCTCGAGCTAAAACGTAAGGTACGCAGAGAGCAGTTAATAGCTTTAGTATTATAGGTAGCACTATCTCCCGCAGCACCCAAAGACCCTGCAGCCTAGAGAATCCATCTTCTCTAACTCTCTCAAATTTAGCTCTCCAACTCTCATCTACCATGGGCATCATGTGGTCCAACATGACCTGTGGAATAAAAATTTGAAACAAATTAGAGTTACACGTCAAAATCATGCAATCAACTTCAAACATTAACTAGGACTTCACATTATGGGACACCATGACACAACATTAAATTAGAGTTACAAAAACCACTTCTGTAGCAGATGGAAGATACATCTTGAAGAAAAGAGTACTCCAGTATTTCCACCAGAATCTGTGTTTCAGTAACATACAAGTGTGTTTCCGGTAAACAAACACAAGGACAAAACATCAGCAATCCAGCACCATCCGAAAAACGAGTGAGGATCAATGCACGGAAGCATAAGTTCTATGCCCCACAAGCAATCTAGATAGTACATTCTGGAATAGATCCAGTTAAATTACCAAAATAAGACAGGCAACACATACTACAATCCACAATGATCAGATACTCACCAATCGTGTCCATATCTTCAAAAATATCAGTCCCAAAGCCCAATCTTGGTAAAGGAGGAAAACTGGGCTTTCATCTACTGGTACTCGCATTGGTACGATCACCAAAAGCTCGAAGAGCAGTCCTATCAAGACAG